CCGACACGTCTGAGAAGGATTGTTAACGTTATCACGTGATATGCCTCGCACAATGTCTTCGATCACGACAAATAAATTTGGCAGCCACAATTTTAAAGTTTTCAGATCATATTTTTGTGATATTTATCGAACTATAAAAAATACGTTGGAGTCGCCATTGCTAATAAGCTGACGTGGCTTGAGCACTGTTCTTTCCTGTAGACAATAAATCAACCAAGGATGTTTCTTCTTGTTCTTTTTGTTTTAAATTGTACAATTTCGGCGTCAACAAACAAGTTATTGACTTGTTCTACACTGCAACATTTGGAAGCACTACTGAATGTCAGTGTTACCTGCTGGTGTGGCGATGCATCGTCTGACATCAAACACCGTCTGACACCAAGCACCGATTAAATAGACTAACCGAGGAAGCTAATAACATCACACAAAGTAAGCAATCCTTCACTTGAAGAACTATTTGAAGCAACATGCTGGTGTAAAACAGGTAAATGGCAGGTGGGCCATGAGGAGAATCCCTTCCAACGCATGTCCCGACAACTTGCGTCACTTGGTTACTAGACATCATCTTACCACTACCCCAACTTTAACACACGCACGTGTGATTGCATTTCACCTGCACTGAATTGGTCCCCTTGTTTATCTATTGAATGTAAGGGGATCGAACTATTTCTAACTTGATTTATTGATTGAATCCCTATAGGGTTTACCGAATTGTTTTCTAAATAGTTCAGTTTTTAAAACTCTTCAATGTGTTAGAGGCAGCATCGTAGAGGCAGCATCGTAGAGGCAGCATCGTAGAGGCAGCATCGTAGAGGCAGCATCGTAGAGGCAGCATCGTAGAGGCAGCATCGTAGAGGCAGCATCGTAGAGGCAGCATCGTAGAGGCAGCATCGTAGAGGCAGCATCGTAGAGGCAGCATCGTAGAGGCAGCATCGTAGAGGCAGCATCGTAGAGGCAGCATCGTAGAGGCAGCATCGTAGAGGCANTTTATTCATTTTTTGTTGTTGTTTTGTTGGTGAGTTTGCTGTATTTACCTTACACTTTTGATCAAAACACGCCATCCTTTTGGTAAAAAAAAAAAAAAGTTAATTTTATGATTTTTGGAAAATCTCTTCAAGGCTTTAAAATTGATACTGTGGATAAAATGTAGACTTATAGGGGGGCGTCCATTAATTACATCAACGAAATTGGGGAGGGGGGGGAGAGGGATGTTTGACAGTTGTTGACAAGGGGGAAGGGTTAGATTAGTTGACATCAACAATCATGTTTTTTCTATTAAAATTTTAATCTTAAAAATTGACTTGTACTTACATTATTTTAAACAATTTAATGAGTTTAAATAGTCATATATGTTTAGGCTTTTAACACTATAAGAGTTATTTAATGTGTGTCTGACTGTGTGCACTGCAGATGGCTGGTCAGAATGTTAGCACGCATTGTTAGTGCAAGAGAAGTCAAAAGTTGGCATCTCTTCAACTGTCATTTTTCTCTTAATCCGCTACCTAGAATGATTAACACATCATTGTACACGGTGTTCAATTTTGAAAAAACAACTCATCTGTGTTCAATAACAACTACACCAACTCAAGACAGAGAAAGCTTATGGCAATAAATCAACTATTATACACTATGCCCATCAGGGGCGTCATTTCATGGTTTTTTTCAGGGGGGGGGGGCAAAAAAAAACAAAACTTGGTCGGCTTGTTAAGTTGTTTATTACTGGAGGCGCCACAGTACATAGCACTTTAAATTAAACCAGCAAAATCGGGGGGGGGGGGGATTGCCCCCCCGTTGCCCTACCCAAATTGTAAGACTCTCCAACTGTATAACAAGATCCGGTCAGCAAAACGTATTGTAAGACTCTCCAACTGTATAACAAGATCCGGTCAGCAAAACGTATTGTAAGACTCTCCAACTGTATAACAAGATCCGGTCAGCAAAACGTATTGTAAGACTCTCCAACTGTATAACAAGATCCGGTCAGCAAAAACTGTTGTAAGACTCTCCAACTGTATAACAAGATCCGGTCAGCAAAACCTGTTGTAAGACTCTCCAACTGTATAACAAGATCCGGTCAGCAAAACGTATTGTAAGACTCTCCAACTGTATAACAAGATCCGGTCAGCAAAACGTATTGTAAGACTCTCCAACTGTATAACAAGATCCGGTCAGCAAAAACTGTTGTAAGACTCTCCAACTGTATAACAAGATCCGGTCAGCAAAACCTGTTGTAAGACTCTCCAACTGTATAACAAGATCCGGTCAGCAAAACGTATTGTAAGACTCTCCAACTGTATAACAAGATCCGGTCAGCAAAACGTATTGTAAGACTCTCCAACTGTATAACAAGATCCGGTCAGAAAAACCTGTTGTAAGACTCTCCAACTGTATAACAAGATCCGGTCAGCAAAACGTATTGTAAGACTCTCCAAATGTATAACAAGATCCGGTCAGCTAAACCTATTGTAAGTCTCTCCACATGTATATCAAGATCCGGTCAGCAAAACCTATTGTAAGACTCTCCAACTGTATATCAAGATCCGGGCAGCAAAACCTATTGTAAGACTCTCCAACTGTATATCAAGATCCAGTCAGCAAAACCTATTGTAAGTCTCTCCTAATGTATAACAAGATCCGGTCAGCAAAACCTATTGTAAGTCTCTCCAACTGTATGACAAGATCCGGTCTGTGCAGTTAATGTGGAGCTTATAGGATGATCCAGAACCAAGAAAACTGTCAGATGCAGTTCACCAAGATCATGAACTAGTCTAGTTATCTAGTAGAAGAAATAATGCCTTCATAAGGAATAATTGTATACTTTATAAAAAGACTGCAATGCATACAGGGATGCACCAAAATGTCCTTATTAATTAAGTTTTTATTTTATGAACTAGTCATGTTATCTAGTATAAAAAATAATGCGTTCATAAGGAATAATTGTATACTGTTTACAAAGAATGCAATGTATACAGGGATGCACCAAAATATCCTTAATAATTAAGTTTTTATTTTAAAGTATAATTACATTTTTCCACATGACATTTAAAAAAAACAACAAAGAAATTGAGTAAAATTACACCTTTCTATCATGATTAGAATATACAGGCCAACCTGTGGAATAAAAAAAAGTGTACAAAAAAAGCCTGTATGGCCATACACCTTGGCAAATGTATAAAAACTGTACAAAGTTGTACAGGTTGGCCTGTATGGATTATTATACCCATCACCAAAAAAGAGATTTACTAAAAAAGAAAAACTTCACATTTTCAAAATATGGCTACAGCAACAAATTCTCCTTCTTTGGTAGGCAAACACTCCAAATATCACTTTATTCATTTTTTGTTGTTGTTTTGTTGGTGAGTTTGCTGTATTTACCTTACACTTTTGATCTAAACACGCCATCCTTTTGGTAAAAAAAAAAAAAAAAGTTAATTTTATGATTTTTGGAAAATCTCTTCAAGGCTTTAAAATTGATACTGTGGATAAAATGTAGACTTATAGGGGGGCGTCCTTTAATTACATCAACGAAATTGGGGAGGGGGGGGAGAGGGATGTTTGACAGTTGTTGACAAGGGGGAAGGGTTAGATTAGTTGACATCAACAATCATGTTTTTTCTATTAAAATTTTAATCTTAAAAATTGACTTGTACTTACATTATTTTAAACAATTTAATGAGTTTAAATAGTCATATATGTTTAGGCTTTTAACACTATAAGAGTTATTTAATGTGTGTCTG